TTGGCTGTTCTTTACATCACGTGAGCCTCTGATGAAGCCATTTGAGATCCTCTTTGCAGCGCATGCATGCATGCATTTAGCGACAATGGACAAGCCCGGCTTGCCCGAAGACGCGCTTGGCTTGCATCCTGCATGGCATGACCGAGTCGCGAGGATGGACAAGCATGGGTGGTACCGGCTGTTGCGTGCGTGTGTGCGTGCGTGTGTGCGTGGGTGCGTGTGTGCGTGGGTGCGTGGGTGCGTGTGTGCGTGTGTGCGTGGGTGCGATGCCCGATCCGATGTCCATGCGCGCACATCTCGCCTCGCCTCGTCGTCGTGCAAGCTGATCGATCAGATCAACCTGATGCTTGCCCAAAGCCTGCAAAACATCTTCCCATCCACGCGCACCCTCGCATCGCGCTCGCTGCTCAATCAAGCCGCCCCCACCCCCAAGCCCTCATCTCTTTCCGCCTCGCTTCTCGCACTCCCGCTTCCCCTTCACTTGTTCACGATGCTTCCCACACCCGCACGTCAAGGTCTATCGCTGCTGGTGGGCGTAAAGAGATGCGTGGATTATGCGGTCAAGATTCGGATCAGACCGGATGGAAAGGGTGTGGATACGGATGTAAAGAACAGCATGAACCCTTTCGACGAGATTGCGGTGGAGGAAGCCGTCAGGTTGCGCGAAAAGCACAAAAAGGAGATTACCAGGATTGTGAGTTGTGTTTTGGGGAGGGGGGGAATGTATGGGGAGGCTTGCAAAGTGCTGTGCTGATGGACTCGTGCCGATTTCGCTCGCTGTCTTGCTCGCTCACACACGCGCATCGCAACAAGGCCGCCGTATCCATCGGACCTGCCAAGGCTGCCGACGTTTTGCGTCAGGCACTGGCCATGGGCGCCGATGATGCCATCCACGTCGAGGTGGGCAAAGATGCAGTGTTGGAGCCTTTGGCAGTCTCCAAGATTCTAGCTGCGGTGACGGCGAAAGAGATGGAGAAGAATGCAGATGAAAAGGAAGCTTGGGCTTGGCACTTGGGCAAGCAAGCCATCGACGATGATGCGAGTCAGACGGGACAGATGTTGGCTGCAAAGTTGAATTGGCCTCAAGCTACTTTTGCTAGCAAGTTGCACTTCAAGGGCAAATTCGCAAAGGGTGAAAAGGTAGAGGTGACCAGAGAAGTCGATGGCGGTTTGGCAACTGTAGAGACCACGCTGCCCTTTGTCCTCACCACCGATCTCAGACTCAACGGTCAGTTTCCATCCTGCTCGCTTTTGCGCGCCCCTTTGACCCATCCTTTGTACATTTGCCCCCCCCGCAGAACCTCGATACGCTTCGCTGCCCAACATCATGAAGGCCAAGAAGAAGCCCTTTCAAAAGTTGACGTTGAAGGATCTGGGTTTGGAAGAGGATGCAAAGCCTAGATTGGAGACGTTGGAGGTCAAGGAACCTCCAAAGAGGCAGGGAGGCGCAAAGGTGGGAAGTGTGGATGAGCTGGTCAGCAAGTTGCAAGAGGCTGGAAGAATCTGAAAAGGGGGAGTGGGAATCGGGACACAAACAGCTTGGTGTCTTTTTTAAGCATGGCTTTCAGAGTCTGACTGACGAGGATGAAGAGAGGCCTGAAGAGGTGGATGGGGCCAAGCTGAAAGAGAAGAGAAGCTAGCAGCTGTCATCTGTCGCTATTCATCCGTCACCCTCATCGACCAGACTTCATCGATCGTCGGTCTATCAACCCAATCCTATGACTAGCCCCCCACGCACGGCTATCGCCTCGCCTCGCCTCATCCCAAGGCTGATCCATCCCTCTCCAACACGCTACTCGACATCCCTTTCCCCCCCGCCGCACACACAAATTCGCTTTACAAATCTTCTCATGGCCGTTAGAAATACATGTCAGATCAGGAAATTCTTTGCGCACAAGCTTTCGATTTGACGATAAGAGGCGGGGCGTTTGTGAATGGGAATTTCTCTTTTCGTGGCCAAAGAGGGAGGTACTTGTCCAGTGTCGAAGGCATTGCATGGAGTGTGTGGGGGGAAGAGAGCTTTTCGACGGCCCCCCATTTTCTATGGTTGTTTGTTTGTTTGGTTGGTTGGTTGGTTGGTT